GGGGTGGTGGGTAGGGGGATTGGTGCTGAGACAGGGTTCCGAGGGGGGTGCCCCTCATGGCCCAGAGCCAGGTTCTGACTTCAGTTGCCCACAGAGAATGCGGCGGCCCTGGAGGAGCTGCTGAAGGAGTATCACAGCAAACAGCTGGTACAAACCGGCCACGGACCTGTGCCCAGGTAAGTGGGCAGGTGGGCAAGGAGGGCCCACACCCAGCTAATCAGCCCACTTCCTGGGGACTCACCACTTGGGTATGCTCCCTTTCCTGTCACCCCAACGCCCCTTTACTACCGTCTGTAGTCTTCTGGTCCTAGCCTGCCCTAGTGACCACTGTCACCTGTGCCCTCCATAGGCTACCGCCTGGACCCCCCAGCATGCCATACATCTGTCCGCATCATCACCACCTCCACACCGTGCAGGGTCTGGCCTCATTCTCTGGCCCCTGCTGCTCCCGTTGTAGCCAGAAGAAGTGGCCCGAGGTGCTGCTGTCCCCCGAAGCTGCAGCTGCCAGCACTCCCACTCCCAGACTCCTGCCCAACCCAGCCAGGGCTCCCAAGGCTGGGGCCAAGGCAGGACGCCAGGGCGAGATCACCATTTTGTCTGTGGGCAGGTGAGGTGGGCACAGACGCAACAGGGTCAGGGCGAGACATGACAGCCGGGGCAGGGTGGGGGGGGTGAGGAGGCAGGGACCTAGGTTGAGCCCTGAATACTGCCTGGTGATGGCGCCACCCTTCCTGGCCTCAGTGTGCCTTTCTGGGCAGTGGGGGGTGACCAGGGAGAAGGCAGGTCTGCTTAGCTGTGCTCTCACATGGAGCCCTCAGGCCCCCAGGGCAAGATCCTGGCCACTTATCACACCTGGGGCCCCTCAGGCCAAGGGCCAGTCACCTGCAACCTAGGGTTGGGGATGTTGGGGGCTCATCTGTGGGCAAAGGGGATGTGGGAAGGGCTCAGGCTCTGACCCCTGAACCTGCTGTGTGACCCTGGCAGGTGCTGCCTTCTCTACTTCCGGAGTTCTTCCTTTAATGGGGGGATGATTGAACCACCTCTCTTCACAGGTTCCGCGTGGCCCGAATTCCTGAGCAGCGGACAAATTCATGGGCCTCTGAGGTGAAAACCATCACGGAGGCTGGGCCCTCAGTGGGTGATTTCACTGACTCCCCACAACCTGGCCTCCCCACTGAGCAGCGAGCACTGCTGGGAAGTAGTGGAAACCATACTAAGTGGCCAAAGCCTCCAGCAGAGAAGAAGGCCGAGGTGAGGGGGCCAAAGAAAGTATCTACCTTGACTGCAGATGGGGCAGGGGTGGAGGGGCAGGGGGCCCTGGGAAGGGCCACTTTCCTGGAGCCCAGAAGCCCCCTGACTCTGCTGACTACTCATTCTTGTCCCCCAGGAGAACCGCTACGTGGTCCGGCTAAGTGAGAGCAACCTGGTCATCTGAGGCACCGTCTTGTCGGAAAACACTGCAGCCTTGTCCTGCGAGGTTCTGAAGGCTTCCTGGAGGAGGTAGAGCTGCAGCTGGGCCTGCAAGGATCAAGAAGCAATGGCCTCGCAGAAAAACAGCAAAGGCTAAGGCCTGGAGGTGGGAGTGCCTGCCCCAGTGAGAAGGCCGGCTGGCAGGCGCTGTGTACAGGAGCAAGTTGAAAGCCCCACCCGTCCCTACCACCCAGTTCCTTCCCTGCAGGAGGCCCCTGACCCTGTACCCTGGTCAGATCCTAGGAGCCCACAGGATCCTCTGTACCACCAAGCCAGGCCTTGATGGTGGGAGGGGCCCTCTGCTTGGTACCCCTGGCCCCACACCTTGGTAATGAGTCACCTCCTGCCTCTCTCTGTACAGGGCCCTAGAGCAGATGTACCTCCCCCTCCTCTTCCAGCAGGACCTGTAAAGGGAAGGGGCAACAAAGTGCCATGGGCTGAGAGTCTGAGTGCCTTGGTTCTAATCCTGAGCAAGGCCCCAGCCATCACTGAGTCCCATTTTTTCTGACTGTGAAGTCTCAGTGCCCAGGGCCTCTCCAGCTCCCTGCAGGCTCTGGGCTGGGTTGTGGGGGAGAGCTTGCCTCCTTGCCACCTCTCCCATTAGTAGCTTTATCTGGCCCCATTTTTGCTGCTTTCAGGGCCTCCACCTTCAAGGCCCCCATGGGGCTGCCCATCCATGGCTCTGCCTATAGAAGGGGCTTAATGCATGTGCCTGCCTCCTATCCTGCTGTTTTTATTGAAATTGAAAAAACGGACTTTACCTGGGCAGGGCCCAGCCACCCCCAAGATATCAGGAGCTTTGGGGAAGGGGTGTGTGACAGGCTGGAGAGGCACCTCTGACATTGGTGGTTTGTGTCCCTGTGGTGTTGGTGCATCTGTCCCCTAGCGTGGGCAGTGCGGGCAACTGCCCAGCCTGTCTCCACCCTGGCTCAGCAACCTGCTTATTTATGTGGGGCTGTGCAGGCACAGGCCCCCCGCTGTCCCCATTTCTTATTTATTGAAACTTTGCTGTTGTCCTGTCCCTGCGTCTCCACCCTCATCCACTTGTTGAATAAAAGGTGGGACGGTTGTGTCATGAGGAGCTTCTTTTCCCTGTGCCTCTTCCCAGGTGTTTGTCCATTCACTGAATAGTTGTTAGGCACAGTGTGTGGCACAGGCCATCCCTCCCCTCGAGGTGCCTTTTCTTTGGCAGCAGGTGAAGTGGGGCCTGAGGAGGCCCCTCATCCCTTCTGGTTCTCACTGAAGCCCCTAGAGGCAGTGCTATCGGACGGAATAGAGCATGTGCCATGTATGTAATTTAACGTTTTCTAATAGCCACATTTTAAAAATAAACAGGTGAAGTTAATTTTAAATGATATCAATAATGTATTCTATTTAACCCAGTATACATCTAAAACATTTTCATTTCAGTATACAATCAGTATAAAAATTGTAAATGAGCCACTAATATTTTTGTTTTGAAATCTGGTGTTTTACTCTTAAACCATATCCTACTATGAACTCACATTTCAAAGGCTTGCTAGCCACATGTGGCTAGTGGCTCCTGTATTGGACAGCACAGCTCTAGAGAAAGTGGAGCCTGGAAGATGATGCGGTAAGTAAGACGTACTGGGGGCTGCAGAATGCGGAAGGGGAAGCATGTTCCACAGAGAAGTAACAGCATATACAAAGGCCAGCCATCAAAAGAAATATGAGGAATTAGAGAGGCTGGAAATAGAACCCTCTTGACAAGTGTGGAGACTGGGGCAGGGGTGGGCATTAGAAGGTAGTCATGTGGGTTCTCAGAGGCCATGCGCCTTATTATCCCAGAGACCCCAAGAAGCTTCTAAAGCATGTAGGAAGGAGGAAAAGCATGGTCAGCTTGTCCTTGGTGGGTGGAGGAGCTACAGAAGCATGGGTTCCACAAGGAAGCAGACAACAGGCAAGAGGTAGTGCAGGCCAGGCTGCATGGGTGTGATAGAAACAGATGGGTCCAATAGATTACTAGGACAGAGCCACCAGGGCTTAGTGATGGGATGTAGGTCGAGGGGTTAGGGACAGCTGGGACAGTTGGGTGGGTAAAGAGGAACGGTTCTGGGACAACTGTGGTACAGTCCATGGGTATCCTGAGGCATCTGGATGTGAAGGCCTGGCACTCTCGAGACAGGTCTGAGTTATAAGATACCTGGAAGCACTCAGATGGGCATTTCTACCAGTACTGGCCTGGGGGTGCCATGTTTCAGGGAGAGGGCTCAGGACAGACTGCTGGGCTGCTCCAGGGCACTGGCAAGGAGGTGGGAAGGAAAGCAGGAGATGCAGTATCCTGGAAGCCAGGGAAGGGGAATGGGGAACACGGTGGGGCACAAGGCCAGGTGCTGCTGCTGCAGGGGCAGGAAGAATGCAGCGTCCCATGGTGATTAGACAGGGATGTGGAAGGCGTCTTCTCAAGGGAGTGGTGAAAGCAGGGCCAGGCCATAGCTGGTGAGACCTTAGACTCAGGGAGAAAGGGTTTTCAGTTTAATTCTAGGTCTTTTGGTATTTGTTTTTAAGATGGAAGAGGGGGACACATTTAAAAGCTAACAGGAAATAGGCCCAAGGAGAGGCTGAAGCACCAGAAAGCGAAACTTGATGGACATGAGGAAAGGGACTCATGGGAGGCCCAGGCCTGCTGCAGCTGGGAGGGGCTCTCATGCTGGGACTGCAGGAGGCCTTTCTACTGGGCAGAAGCCGTGAAGGGGCCTGGCCTGGCAGCTTTAGAGAAAGCTCTGCCCGGAGGGGAAGCTGGGCAGAAATTCCTTGAGATCCTAGCTCTCCCTACCTCTCTTTTCTACGCCACAGGTTTCTCTTTCTCGGGCTTCTCAGGTGGGCAGGAAAGGAAGGGCACCCCTGAGGAGCCAAGAGACACAGCTTCACCTGCTCTAGGAGAGGGCAAGGAAGGCGACAGAGAGGCTGGACATCAGGAGGAATTCTGTGAGCACCAAAGGTTGTCAAAGTCTGGAACAGGGTGTCCTTTGCGGGGGATTAGCGGGCATCACCAGTGCACCCAAGGAAATGTTCCCTGGGGCTGCCAGAGTGCACTTGGTGTCCTTATTTGCCAGCTGTTAGCTGCATCTCAGGGTTTGGCTTCTCAATGTCTCCTCAGCCAACCAACTCCATTTCACATAGGACTTAGATGACACTGGGCTGAGCACGAGGCACTGCCCTCTTGCCTGGGATGAGGCACATCCAGACACCAGCCAGGGTAGATGGAGACTGGGAATGGGCTTCCCAGGCCAGGTAAGGGACACCCTCACCTTGGTGCCGGGCCCTGGAGTAATAAACACTGCTCCCCTCCAGACACCCAATTAACTACTTGCTAGAAGGTAAAAAAGTATGGCCCTGGCCTCAGTTTTTTTACCTGTCCTTTGGGGGTGTTGAGGCCAGCTCCCAAGTGGGATGAGGAAATGAGATCAGGGTAGGGGTATGTCTGATGCTCCTAGCCTTCAGGGCCCCCACCCTCACCTGGAAGCTCTCCTGGCTTGTCCCCTCCAAGGCTTGCCCCCTCTAAATCATGGTGACTTTGTCAGCTGTTGAGTTCAAGGTCAGCTCAGGAGCACGCAGGGGTGAGAACTGGAGGACAGGGTGGACCCCTGGGCTGACCATTCCTTACTCCACCCACACCCTTTCCTACACAGGTCAGAATGGTGGGTACTGGGGCCCAGTTCTCTGCCTCCCTACCCGCTCCTGGCCCTCAGCACTGCCACTGTGACCTGGAGCTGAGTTCCTGGAAAATATCCCCTTCCTGCCCTGGAGAACTGCTGTGACATAGCCTGGCATAGCCTGTGGGCAGAGATACCCTCCCCTCCCACACCTGACCGAGCTTCCTGCCACAAGGGAGGGAGGGAGGATGAGTTTCACATCAGGTGAGCACGGGAGGCAAAGCTGGGGAGGGTGCTAAGGAGGCACAGAGTGCGGCTGGTGGAAAGAGCTAGAGAGTGAGGAGTCCGAGTTATAATTACAGTTCTAATGTGAGCCAGGTCACTTAGCCAGTTTGGGTCTGTTTTCTCTCCAGTTGAGGAGGTTGGGTACTTGGAGGCTGGGAGAGCGTAGACTGTGGGGCCAGGCCCTAGACGGAAATGGCGGCAACGATGATCAGGGAGAGAAACCTCGACCTGGACTAGGGCAGTGGCTTTGCTCAGAGGGGAGACGAGAGAGAGATGTTCAGGATGTACAACTGTCAACCCCTGATGAACATTTGGAGGAGACCACATAACTTCCTTGGTTTCCCACCTGATAAATTTACCCTTTAAGCAAGCTCAGGCGTTGCCTCCTCTGGGGTGGGCAGAATGTGCAGTTTGGAGCCTGGAATTTGGAGCCAGACCATGTGTGAATTCCAACTCTGCCCCTCACCAGCTCTGTAACCTTGGTCAAGGTACTTACCCTCCTTAGCTGTCCCTTCCTGAGGACAGGCCTAACAGGGCTCACTTCCCATTGTACTATGAGGATTCTGAAAGTTACCAGGCATAGCACGCGGCACCAGCCATGTATGGTGGGCACATGGTAGACGTCAGCCTTCATCACTCATGGCTTCCCTGCATTCCTGTGTGACACGCCTTCATCCAGGTGCTGATGGCCACTGCCCAGCCCATCAACTGTGAGTGCCAGGGCAGCCCTACTGTGCCTGCAGGGAGATGCAGCATAGGTGCTACATGACTGGTGAGAAGCCCAGGGGACTCACTGGCCCAGGGGGTGGTCTGTGTCCCCTGCCCCAAGAACCACCAGTCTGGTCACCCCAGACCTTTTTTTTTTTGGAAACTTTTTTTTAATAGTTATTGAATGTTCTACAGCTTACAGTAAATATCATAGTTACAAATTCTTGGCTTCAATCTTTCAGAATGATCACTATCTGATCTTCAAAACAAAACGAAACAAAAACCCAAAAGAATCCAAAACATCAAAACAAAACCAGATTTACACGTCATATACACAAGCGAGGCCACGGGGCTTTCCAATCTTTGCACTCCAGGTTGTGTTTTGAAAACACCTATAAGTTCTTTGATCAAACTACTTGGAAGACACTGGTCGAAGGTTTATTATTATTATTTTAAATGTTTTTCCTTTTAAAATGTGAATTCCAATAAAATTTAAAAATTAGATTCTAACTGGTAGATTAAAATGAATTAAAAAATACAAAATCATATACAACACTCTCACAGGGATGTTACATGCCATGAGAACAGGTGATATGAAACAGGAGATGGGGACAGGCCCCTGGGCCTTTAAAGGTAATTACAGACAACTCCAAGTCGCTAGAGGCCTGGTCTTACCTCCCCCTGGTGAGGAGAAGCTTGAGTCCCATCCATCCTAGATCCAGACAATCTGGCTGACCCGAGAAGGTGGTCTCTGGGCAGTCCCACTCTTTCCGATTCTCAGGCTGGAGCCTGGAGGTGCTGGTCTTGCTGGGGTCAGGCTCAAAGATGATTTCACCCATTCGACTCCCATGGGCTGGTACTTATCTGCAAAGCTGTTTTATCTATTCTCTCCGGAAAGGAAAATACCCCTCTACCAGGAGCTGGAATGGGTACAGGGTCTCATTGACACACAAGGAGCCGAAGGGCTATGGATGCAGCTGCTGGAAAGAGCTCATTTCCCTTTCAGGCTTTGTGACAGCCTGTCCTAACTCCTGTTGTTTCTCACTTGGCCACTGGGCTGGACTCAACAGCATGCACGATAGAGAATAACCACTGAAGAAATTGAGTGAGTGGGACCCGAATCTGGTTCAGGCAAGGTTGACTATGGAATGTTGAAGCTGGCCTGCCAGACATTTCAGAAATGAGTTATCTAGGAGAGGGGAACATGGACAGGTAAAGGACAGATCCTACAGCCAGTCTGGCTGGCCATAGGAGCCTGAGCTCAGAGGCTCAGGGGTAGAGTCTGATGTTAGCCTGGCTGAGTTTCCTCTACTGTGATCCTGCTTCCCCAGGTGCGTGGGGCCTGGATTCCCCTAGGGCTATATAGCAGCCTGGAGCCTGCTTCCCGCCTACCCACTCCACCACCACACCTGACCCTCTGGATATCCAAGCTTGGCATGCAGCTGGGCACCACATACCCTGTAGTGATGTGGTAGAATGCAGGGTGGAAAAGCGAAACTGCTACACACTTTCAAGTGCAATCGAGGAGAAATGCATGGTGATATCTAAATGATGAGTCTAGTCAGAGTGCTGTGACCAAGACCCATGCCTTCTGGGCCCTCCCTCTCTGGCATGGAGCAGAGCTGAGGAATCTGACATGCAGGGCTCCAGGCCTGGCCAAGCCAGTGCCTCGCTAAGACAGACCAAGTCCTGTCTGCATGATGACACCAGAACTCGGTGACCAAGAGGCCTGTCCTACGTTATGCCCCACGACTCACTTCCGAAGGCCACGTAGAATGAAGCCAGCCCCTCCAAAGAAGCATTCCAGACCTCTAGAAGTGAGACACCTCAGACTTGGAACAACTTGGGGGGCCAGAGGTAAGAGCTGGGATACGGAGGAAGGACTGTGTACTATCTCTAGGTCCTGGTCCTCGCCCATGGGGCAGCCCAGCAGCCCATCCCTTCCTCTTGCCTGCCACTCAGACCCAGCCAGTGCCGGCAGAAAGCAGAGGATCGAAAGAGTTCATATCTTGGCTCTCTTATGAGCTCTGTGACCTTTGGCAAGTCTCTTAAGCCTCTGAGACTTAGTTTTAAAATGGGTATTTTGGCAATTAATGTCAAAGTACTTTGTACATGAAAACACTCTAGACAGGTGTGTGTCCTTGTTAAATATTCAGGGAAGGGAATATCACTTTAGGGTCATTGCTAGGAGAGAGAGGAGCAGCAGCAACTGTCCTGTCTCATGGGGAAGACATTTAAAAATTTTTTTTTCAAAATGTAGCAGATTGTTTCAGGCTCTCACCACTTGGGGGCACTCCAGCTTCCTAGGCCCCAGGCTAATAAGAGGGAGTCAAATAGAAGTTGGGGGGGCAGTGAAGAGGGTTGGCTGGTGACTAGAACCACCTATAGACCCTTAACGCTGGCCAAGCTATGGTACTGGGGAGAGGCAGTGGAGGGGGTGGAAAGGGGTTTGCACGTGGTGCCAGCACTGCAGCTTACTGTCACATTGGCACATCCCGTCTTCTCTCGCTTGCTGGCCTTCCTACAATGACAGGGCCCTCCCAGCTCTGACTACTGGGCCACCTAGTAGCCTTGGATGATGCCCATAGTACCTCCTGACAGACACCTGTGAGCCTACCAGGTGTGTTCCTCCTACTAAAAGCATATTGCTGCCCCTGCTCTCCTGGCTCAGTCTCTTTGCAGTGACTCCCCAAGCCTCGCCAGGCTTGTGGATCTCCATCAAAGAAAGCAAGTGAGGCCAGCTGAACTGGGGCTCCAACACTCATACTGTAAAAGGGGTGCTGGGCCTGGGTTCTTCCAGACCACACCCTTTCTGTGCCTTGTTCATGCCTCAGGGCCTGTCTTTGATCTTGAATTACATACAAGGGCTTAAGAGATGGTGCAGAGCATAGATACTTTGGTCTGCAAGCCTGTGCATGGAGTCAGACTGGAGGGAAAGAGACAGCAGACAGACAAGTCACTTCACTTTTCCAAGTTTCAGTTTCCTCATAAGTCAAATGGGAGGGAGAATCTATTTCATAGGGTTAAATCAGATGGATGGATGTGAAATTGCTTTGTGAACTGCAAGGTACTAGACGTTAGTTTTTACTTACTGGTGCAGAAAGAACAAAAGTAACAAAGTCATTCCTAAGGCTCCTCTTTTTCCCTTCCTCTCTGTGGTTCTACTCCAGCCCATCTAGACGCAGCAGGGTTTGGGAAGCCTGTCAGGATAGCAGCATTCTGCTCACTTTGGGCAAGTTCCCTTTCCTTCCAGAACCAGTTTCCTTGTTTGTCAAGTAGGTATAACAACTCTGACCCTGTCTCTCTGTCTCGGGGCCAGTAAATTAAGGGTTGTGACGTGCTCTGAAATCTATGAAGCACCTGACAAATGCAAAGGTTTCCTGTTATTATTATTGTTATTATTTTGGCATTTTCCAAACATGTATGACATAATGTAAAACAATCTTCACCCACCCTTACCAAACCAGAGAGGAGGTATTTGAAAAAAATGGATTAACACTGGGAAACTTTGTTGTTTCAAAATAAAACTTCTTCAGCACCCCAGGACAGATCATTCAGAACAGCTGGATTTCTCCTTACTGGTCCTACAGGTCCCTGGAAGGCCAAGGTGGCCGCAACTCCTGGCTCTGGGCTGAGGATGCTGATGGGCTTCGCCCTCCGGGAAATGGCCAGACAGCCTCTGAGGTCCTTCTGGCCCAAGGGTTCCTGGTTTTTTCCTCCTTTAGGGAGTTATGGGAGGTAGGGGTAGGGATATGTCTAAGTTTGCATGAATTTAAATTGAAAAAGTTATTTAAAAGTCCCAAATTTCATCAATGATCCCACTTTGTACAGTAAAATGTCCCTGCCCCCATTAGAGGGGCTGCTGGCCCAGCCAAGTGCTAGGTGCAGGTGGCAAACCAGGCTCCTGGCTGAAACTAGCAGGGCCTCCTGACCCAGGGACTCCTCTTCTCCCAGGAGATCCCAGGTCCCCTGGGCCTCATCTCTGTCCTCCCCTCCTCTCAGGATAAGGGGCTACTGTCCTAAAAGCACAAACGCTCCTTTTCGGACAGCCCACCTGCTTGTCTCTTAGGGGTGGAGTCAGGTATGGGACAAAAGTTCCAGATGTCTTCACAGAATTTCCAAATGCTGTTTCTTCATTTGCAATTTCTGTTCCTGCCATCTGCCCCCCATGTAACCTCTCCCCAGTCTTCCCCCCTGCCTTTGGAGTCCATGGAGGAAAAGAACAGAAACTAAAACCCAGACAGATACTGTTCCAGAGCTCACCAGATGTGGGCACTGCTGACTTAATTTTTACAAAACCAAGCTAGTCCATCCCTAGCTAAAATTTTGTGGGCAATATGCCCCTAGGTAGGAAGGCTGCATTTAATGCTAATTTACTGCAAGATCTAGGGAAGTCCTTTCCTCTTCTCCAGGCCTCAGCTTCCTCATCTATCAAATAGGGGAATGGATGAGATGATTGCTAAGGTCCCTTCAGTTCCATGAGTCTATGAAATGTTTATTGCTATTGCTTTTCCTTCACTATTCTGACCTTCAGAGCTGCCAGCACCCATCTGGAATGTGGTTCCTCTACTTTGGCCATGAGTGGCAAAAGGTACCAAGAGCCTGGCCTGCCTGCCAACCCCATGGACAGATGGGTGAGCCCTGGCACTGGGAAGGGCAGAAGGAAGGGAGAGAAATGCCATAGGTTTCCACTCTAATCAGGAGGTGGCTCCTCATTAGAGTGGTTCCTTGAGGCCAAGGTCTGGATTACATAGGGCACCTGGCCTTTCAAGGCTTTGGGAGGCTGGGATCCCACCACCCTGCAGCTGCTTGGCAGGTCTGGGGTCAAAATAACCTTCTGAGGAAGTGCCAGGTCAGTTTACATTACTGTGCAAATCAGAGGGTCTAGGCCCAGGCAATCTGGCCAGAGACCTTACAAACCGCAGCCAGCAGGCAAGCACCTCTCTCCCTCTCCCCTCCCACAGTGCTCCCCCCGCCCCCAAGTTCTCCCAAAGAAAGAATCTGGTTTCCCCAGGTTCTCACCTGGGATATTAAGCTGTTATGAACACTCCTACCTAATCAGGGGGTTTTGTTCTTGGTTTGTTGCAATGGTTCTCAGAAGACATTTCATTTCTGTCAGGACATGGTAATGTCCTAAACTAATCTTGCTTGAGATAAATAAAGTAAACAATCCCCCAAAGATGTAGTATGCTCAACAGCTCTGAGTTCCCACCCTAGACCCAAGGGCTACATCTGTTATGCTCTTCAAAAGAAATCATGCCTTGAGCTGAACCACTGCCATAAACCCCACTCTCTACCTGCCACTAGACTGGGATCCCCGGGGAATGGACGCTTGGGGAAGGAAAGAAGAGCAGAGAGGAAGTGCCTGGTCAGTTAGAAGGAGGGGTAGAGCTGGAAGGGCAGTGGCTAAGAGAAGGACAGTGGGGAGAGGCAGATTAGAAAAAGCAGCTTTTACATAAACCAAAAATAAAAATCAAAACCGCTAAAGATGCATAAAGTGACCCTTGCACTTCCGTTGTCTCTTCTTGCAAATAGAGGTGGTGCTGCCAGGGAACTGCTCCAGCACCTGTGTAAGACTTGAGTAGTTGCATACAATGTGTGACTCCAGATCTAGGGAGGAAGGGGAAAGCCATTAGTGACAGTGATATTCCCAAGAAGCCAGTGGACCCCTCCCCTTGGGAGCCCTCTGTGCCCCTGGAGGATGTGGAGGGCAAGGGAGCTAACACCCCTGGCATCTGTGATTTACTGGCACTGCCTCAGGAGCTGCTCAGAGCACTGAGGAAGCAGGAGGGGGGGAGGCGAGTTTAGCCCCAGTCAGAGCCAACATCTGACTGAGAAGATTTCAGTTGAAGAATGGTGCCCACAATTAAAAAGTGTGAAGATCGTACTGCAAAGAGTATCGAATTTAGTACTAGAGGACTAGAGTTCAAGTCTCAGCTTCATTTTTACTGGCTGAGGGATGCTGAACTATGTATTTATCTGTACAACAGAGCTGATGATCCTTTTCACAGAGCTACTGTAAGGATTATAAGATAGCAAGTAAAGTACCTAGGATATATGTAAAGTGACAGCTATTATTAAGAGTGATATTACTGCCTGGCCAACGTGGCTCAGTGGTTGAGCATTAACCTAGGATCCAGGAGATTCCTGGTCAGGGCACATGCCCGGGTTGCAGGCCCGATCCCCAGTCAGGGGCGTGCAGGAGGTAACCAATCAATGACTCTCTAATCATTGATGTTTCTGTCTCTCTCTCTCCCTCTCCTTTCCTCTCTCTCTAAAAATCAATAAAACCATATTAAAAAAAATAAAAATAAAAGAGTGATATTACTGAACTTAAGCATGAAAGCAGCTGATAACTATCCTTTGCCCTGTTGACATCTGTGCTTCAGACCCAGCCAGGGATTCTGAAGCAGTTCCAGTGTTCAGTCACCCTCCTACCCCTCCCACCCCGGGCCCCACTCACTTGGATGGGCTGCAGGCTTTACCAGTGTGGTGGCACATAGCTGTACGCAGGGGTCCCTTGGGCCCTGTATGTTGGCATGGAGACAGGGTGTGCCCCAATCGCGGTGTGCTGCGGAGCAGTCAGCAGGGTACCTGAGCACCCGGAGAGAGAAGAGCAAAGCTGATGAGGCCATCCATCCGAGGGTGCAAGGATGAAGAAAATGAGGCCATGGTCTTTCACACAGCTGTTCCCTGCCTGGGCCCCACCTCCCCGCCAGCTCATGAACCAACCCACCCTTCCCCACCTTGCCAGGTTTCATCTTAGGGAAAGCTTTTCTGATGCTCCAGGGCACAGCCAACCATTCTTCTCCAGGGGCCTCCTTTCACTCTTCTTTGCATGCTCCTCTCATTGCTGAAACATCTTACTGAGGGGCAATTGTTTATGTGGGTGTGCTTCTCACTAACCTAGTTGTTCCTAAAGGCAGGGCTCTCGTCTGAGCCTACTGGTACCTGGTCCCCAGGACCTGAATAAGGCTGGCACGGAACAGCACTCAAAAGCTCCCTGATGGCCCTAGCCAGTTTGGCTCAGTGGTTAGAGCATCGGCTGGAGGACTGAAGGGTCTCGGGTTCGATTCTGGTCAATGGCACATACCTCGGTTGCAGGCTCAATCCCCAGCCCTGGTCAGGGCCTGTGCAGGAGGCAACCAACTGATGTCTCTCTCTCACATCGATGTTTCTCTCTTTCTGTCTCTCTCACCCTTCTACTCTCTCTGAAAAGCACTGGAAAAAATATCCTCAGGAGAGGATTAATTAATTTTTTAAAAAGCTCCCTGATGTGATCTGGGGAATGAGAAGCCTCAACTTCCTCTTATATTAGGGGCAGAATAAAATCCCAAACTCCTACTTCCCGCCCACCTGACCCCTTGTACTCTCTTCCCTTAGAAGGTGACCCAGCTGACTCTTCAGAACTTGGCCTCTAAAAATCATTCATAGCCCTCGTGTCTCCTCACGCTCTTCTCTGGAATATCAACTCCCCCAGACTTCCCTAAACCTGCTCTTCCTCTGGCATCTCTTCGCCCCCATCCTCAAGGTCCCTGAGGGGCAGGGCTCTGGTCTAATTTCTGGAGTAAGCCAGAAATGGAGAAGGGTCCTTCTGGACTCCTGCTTCTCCCATGCATTACAACTAATTATGGGACAGGTCCTTAAGCTCCTGCCTGCTAAGTAACATTCCCCATGCCCTCCTTTCTAGAACCATTGCTGCTGTCAGAGTCCTAGTGTCATCTCTCTTCTAAACTACAGCCTCCCCTGACCTACGTGCTTCTAGCCTCCACATCTAATCCTGCCTCCACCTTGCAGCCAGAGAATGTTTAAAGCAAACCCCACCTCTCCTCTGTCTAAACCCTTTGCTAGTTCCCCGTTACCTAAAGGTATTCTCTCTTCCCCACTTTATCTTTGCCGACTGCTCCAGCCACCCTTCCAACTTCCTGTATCTATTTCCTAAGTGCCTTGGACCGTTTCCATTACGTGAATGTGCCATACTCATGTTCTTTCCCCCCTGGGCTGCCCTTTCCTCTTTCATTTCTCTGGTTAGCGTCTGTTCGCCTTGAAGGCGTAGCTCAATATGCCCTCCTTGGTGAAATCTTCCTCATCCCTGTCGGCAGATTTAGAGGACCCTTCGTCTAGGTTCCCAGAAGCCCCAGCACAGGATTTCTCTTACTATGCTACAGTCGACTCCATTACTAGTGTTCCATCCACTCTGTCACGAGTTCCTGGAGGAGGGGGATGAATGGAAACTGACCCAGAGGTGGCCCTCACCTGCTGACATCGCCATAGTAGTGCCGGCCACCATGCCCATGGCCACGCCGTTGGTCCTGGGGGCAGCTACAGGTGCTGGGTAGATGGCAGAGGGAATGCTGTTGGGCTGGACGACCGTGGTGTGGTGGATGACATGGGGCTGGGCAGCATACACCGGCTGCGTGTAGTAGGCTCCCTGTGGGGGAAGAGGCTGAGGTCACATTGGCTTTTAAAGTGGGATGGAGTGTGGAGAGGAGAGGGCTGGGGAGCCTGTTCTTCCCAGACCCTAAGGGATGGGGTCAGAAAGGCACTGTACAGGGACACAGGGTATGGGCCCCAGATGGGGCTCTGCTTCTATCTTACTATGCAACTGTGGACATTTCAGTGCTGGGCTCAGCTTCTTGTCTGAAAAGTAATGCTCCAACCCTGTCCTGCCTCGTTCCTAGGGCTGCTAGGATGATCTAATGGGGTAATAGCTTTGCTCCCTTAACACTGACTTCAGCATTTTAAATTGTTTGTATTTTATTGCAATGTGCTCCATAAGCTGCCTAAAATGCAAAGGCTGGGACCACAAGTCAGTGAGTGAAGAGGACATGGGCACAGCTGGTGAACACCAGAGCACTGTGTGCACGTGTGTGAAGGACAGCCAGTGGGAGCTTCACACTGGTGCAGATGCTGCGACTGTACAGCCTAGGAGAATGTCACAGATGCAGAGCATTTCCTAGGAGATGTCTTTTACCACCATTCCCTTTAGGAAAAGTTGAGGTGACTCCCATTGTCTGGACCACATGGTTGCTTCCTGCTGCCGTAGTCCACAGGCCTGCTAACCCTTGTGCGGAGCAGACAGGGGCCCCTGGATCCTCTTAATCCAGGACTTCTCAAATGTTTCTACTAAACAATAACAAGAACTTCAGAATATAGTCTGTAACCCCAGAGGTCTGAGAGCGGAGTGCAAAGCAGCCTGCCATAAACAAGAAACATTTATCTCAAGTCTGTTGTTTTCTTTTAAAAACTTTTGCATTCTACTCTACAATATAGCTGTTTAAATTTAAAAAGCATTCTCCTTACTACTTAAACCTTATGTAAAATTGTCACTCTAGAAAAATGTGCCACAAGTATGTTAAAGCCTCATACAGTCACTGTCGCATAACCATCCCCTCAGAGCACACAACTCTATTGAAGGAGCCCAGATGGGGGCACTGAGGCACAGAGAGAGAGAGAGTAATGTGCCCAAGGTCATACAGGGAACTGGTGGCAGAACCTGCACCATCTCCTCCCTACTCAAGCTCCCTACTCAAGACTTTATCAGGGAAGGGTGGATGTGGGTGTGGGACGAGGGAGTAGGGAGAGATGCCCAAGACATAGGGGTCTCATCCTGACTCACCCAATAGCTCCCTGTGTGACCTTGGGTAAGTCACTCCCCTCTCTGGGTCCAATTCCCCACTTGTATAACAAAGGAGTTGAGCGAGATGATCTCCTGCATTCTGGGCTCCATTAACCTAAGTGAGTGAGTGAGTGAGTGTATGTGTGTGTCCAGGGGCTGAGGTGGAGTGAGGGAATGTAAACTGCAGGGATACCGTTTCCATAACACAACAATGACAGCTAGCCAGAGCCATGGGCTCTCCTTCCTTTTCTTCCTTACCCACCCCCACCCACCCAGGCTGGTGGCTCCTTTACCTGCAGAAGAGGTGGGCCCAGACCTCCAGATGCACCTACCTGGGCATACAGATTCTGCTGAGGGTAGGCACTTCTGATGGGATACATGGCCGTCTGATAGGGATTGGGTGATGGGGAGTAGGGGGGTGGAGCAGTATTACTCTGGGTCGGTGGGACCTTGTATGGTGTCCCCGCAGTATATCCTGTACCAAGGCAATAAGAGAGACTTTCAATTAGTTGGCAGAACAGCATTGCTAGAAGGTAGCAGGTCCCAGTCACGACTCCCCAGACAATGGGCTGAATCCAGGCTGGAAACACAGATGAGCACAGACAAAGAGCAGGGCTCCACCCAGAGACCCTGGTCCCAGAGGCAGCTCCCTCAGTCCTGGTGCACAGGGCTGCATGTGTGATTCTGGCATCTTTTACTTCTCTGGGCCTCAGGGCTCTCATCTATAAAATAACAGATGGAACCAGATGATCTCTTAAGGGACCCTTGCAGCTCAGATGGTCTGGGATTCTGAGCTACATGCAGTGAGAGGCAGGTGCACACAGATGGGGGACCCTCAACCTGCTTGCTCTTTATTGCACTATCTTCCTGCTTTTCTGTCTCCTCACTAAGCACCCAGGGTATCTTCTGCTGCTGTTTCTGTCTTTCTTGATTCCCCCCTTACTCTGTATTTCTTTTTCCCCATGTATCTCTCTCCTTTCCCCATATTCCCCTTCCTCCCTGCCAAGTTTAAGGTGAAAACTCCGTACAAAACACCATTGAGAGATCCTCATCTTCTGAGATGCTGAAAAACTCTGCTCCACAGAGCTGGCGTTTCTATCCTCCTGGGATGTGGGGCAGGGCCACCTCTGCCAGAGGGCCTGAAGTCATAGTCACAAAGGTTCACAGCAATTTGGAACCCAGGCCATGTGGGTAACTGCAGGGTAGACAAAAGCTGGGGGATGGGGGCTGAGAAGCCAGACCCCAAGAAACTCACAATCAGCCATTCAAACAAATTGTGCTGCCTTTGACTCTTCTGGAAAAGAGACTCAGATTCTATGTTCACAGGGAAAACTTGAAACAGGCATCATTCAGGAACAAGAATCACAAAATGAATGACCATATGGAACTCAGGGATCTATACAAGGGGGTCCTGGGGCTCAAGGACCCAGGAGAAGGCAAGTCTTTATAGGAACCTCTCCTTTCTGAGCTAAAGGGACAATGACGCATCATCATAAATCTCTCTCAGCCCCCCTCACAGCTCTGGCTTGGTGCCCCCGTCCCCAGTGGGTCAGTAGGGTATGGGAGCTGCTGTTTAGTTGCCACAAAGGCACCATAAAATGTGTCCTGTCCTCTCTCCAGAATCAAGTCATTTACTTTCCGCCTGGAGATCCACAGTTTGTTCCAGGAGAAACCAATTTTGTGGTCAGATACACTTGGGAAATAAGAAGCAATGAAGATGGAGTGGAAAGAATACATTAAAGAGAAGGGAGCATCATAAGAACTGGAAACTAGGAAGGGTGGGACGAGTCAGCTGAGGGAGGAGTCTACAGCAGATTCCTAGAGCTAATCATGAGAGGTGTTCAAGGAGGAGAAACAGATACTGTGGGGAAAACAGGGAGTCTAGGTTTGCAGACATCTAGAAGGAGCCATCTGAAGGGTACTTCACCTTGGAGACACAGTTTACTTATCTTATAAAACAAGCAGTTGGGCATGTCCCAAGAGTACATTAGGGACTGTGATTCAGAGGGATCTTAATCATTGTTTTTCACGAAAGCAAGCAAGCAGCAGCAATGTAAAATAGAGATAAATAGGTTGGTTTTTTGTTTGTTTGTTTTTAATTCCATGAGAAGTTTTAAAATGACAGGATGAACTGTGACTTTCTAAGACAGGGATATGCAGGAGATTATCCCCAAATCTATTTTACCACAGAATCTTTTACTCAGACTATTTACATTTAAACCAGGCGAACTGCAATTTTTGGTAACTGTAGCCTATTTTGATAAATAAAGTTTTACGGTAACACAGCCATGCCTGTTCATTTACATATTGACTGTGGCAGCTTTCCTGCTACAATGGTAGTTATAACAGAGAACATATGGCCTGAAAAGCCTAAAATATTTATTCTTGTGCTGACTCATTATTTAAAAGGATAAAACAAGGTATGGGGAGTCCTGCCAGAGTGGAGAGCATCTCTCTTCCACAGGAGGGCAGGATACCCCCAGACCCTAAGATGCCCGTCTCTGGAAGCTATCCAGTACAGTAGTGGTTATGGGTAGTCTAGAGCCAGACTGACTGCCTGGGTCCAAATCCCAGCCCTGCTACTTAACAGCTGTAGAATATATCAGTTTCCTCAGCTGTAAAATGGGGGAAGGTGTAATAAAAGTACCTATTCGTAGAGTTACTCCGATAAATACATTAATAAGTGCAAAGCCCTTAGCATAGTGCCCAATACATTAAAAGCACTTCATAAAGGTTAGCTATTCTTTGTTATCTCTCACTGTATAGAGAGATCATGAACTTCCTGCCCTGGGGGTATACAAGCAGAGACTAGTCTGAAAGATTACAGTAGACAGGAGGTTGAACTATGACTTTCATGGCATGCTCCAACTTGAAACAAACTCCAGGATTCTAAGATTCTAAAATTTTACAGTCTAAAATGCCATCATTTGATGAGTCTTTAAAGTTAACAAGCCAGCAATGCTCCCGGAGAATGTGCTCTGGGATTCTGGTCCCCTGGGAAAGCCTGCACATCTCCCTCTATGCCACAAGGACAACCACCTTACACACTGTTGAGATCATCACTCTGAGGAAAAGCAAAAGGCTCCAGGAGACTGCAGTAGAATTTGGTTTCCACATCTAAGAATAACTTCGTCTGAGAATGTTTCCCTTTTTTCATGTTATGAAACGAAGACACGCACATACTCAGAATGTATATCAGTAGCCAAAACACCCTTGGCAGCCAAAATGATGATTCTGCAGAGGCCTTGTTTGTTTGTCCAAACAGTCTGAGAAGGGAGAAGCAGAAGTGCAGAACTAGAAGAGATCTCAGAGATCATTAGGACCAACAGAGACGTCTCACATGAGATCGTGAACACATGCTGAGAACAAGCAGCTGCTCACAAGGACTCAGTGCTTCTTCCTCTAACCACAGTGGCTCCAAGGTCACTGTTTGTCAGAAGGCTGCAGAAACTGCCCTGGGGCCCCATCCTGGGCCCTGTCAGGGAGTCAGGTCAATTCTTTTCTCAAGAAATAACCTCATTTGGATTTGGATTAGGTAGTATCAGAGGGACCTTTCTAATGCTGACATTCTGTCTCTGAGTATTTCAGTGAAACATTCATGAGGAAATCTTGGCAGAGGACTTTCCACAACTGACCGGTGGTCCTGTTCATGTCCCTGAGGATCACTGGAAAATCCCCTGGGCTGTGGCCTGGGCTACCTTAAGCATCACAAAATTCAGGGTCATTACTTTGTGCATCTAAGTAAAAGAAGCTGTTGGGTTTGATGCAAAAAAAAAACCCACCCCAAACCTACAGCATTTTGCTCAAATGAACTCAGACTCGATTCACTCAAGGGAGGCCTGACTCTCCATAGAGTTCTACCTAAGCCCGAAGGTCAGAGTTAGGTCTTTGGAATGCTATCCCTTAAGGACATTACAGACTTTAATTCAATGCTGTTTCAGATGAAGAACCTGGAGCCCAGAGGGGCAGAGACTTCCCCCTAAACTGCAGAGCAAATCAAGTACCGAGCTGGGCCCAGAGTTCAGGGCTTGCCAAGCTCGGGGCAGAACTTCTTTCCGAGTTATAGGTCTCTGCAATCCAATCTTGGGCATTTGGTATATTAGCCTTTGTGCCATCATTTCACTAAAGGCAGTGTCATAAGAGAAAAAAGGAATCTGACACTAGAAGTCCTAGCTTTGCCTTAAAAGAATCTTTATGACGCCCTGTTCTTTCTCTCAGGTTTCTAACCATAATTTTAGGCTCCACCAAACAGGGTAATAGAGTATGTACACCAGTAAGGTAAACACCTTCTCAGTCCACTCTTCAGTCCTTTCACACTGTTATAAATCTTTTTCCAGCTGTGGAGCCCTTGCACTTTCAAAGGCATTGATCCTCACATCAACGATGCCTTTTAGACTCAAAGGTTTATTGACTATTAGATTTATGTCTGGACAAAGCTCTATGTCTGATTTCTGCCTTGACCCTCAAGGCTCCTTGTTGGTGGCTGAAAGAGAGAGTGCTGAATAAGTAGGAGGGAGACCTAATTACAAACAGGCTTAGCAAGTGTTAGTGAAATTGAACTGAATTTGTACAAGTGCCCTGAATTTTCTGTGGCCTTAGAAGCCACAAAATCTGTGCGCTGGGAGGAACCCCGATGGGTGTGGGAGGGTTAGTCAATCCCACCTCTATTTAAAAATTACATAGGTTCATACATTACTTGCTTAAAAGAGTGGGGACTGGGATAACCTGTGAAAGGACAGCAGGAGACAGAGACTGGACATTTCAATGGAACTGCAGGAAGATTTCAACATAGAAGACAAGGCCTAATATTCAGACTTTCTCGCTGTGGAAAGGGTTGTCTCTGGAGGGAATGAATACCCCATACCTGGAGATGTGTGTGAGCAATGGCTAGTGGGCCAACGACTCGTCAGGGCAGGAGGGAAAAGGTCCCTGCTGGAGTAGAGGATATTGAGTGTGACAGAATCAGGAGTAACAGCTAGAAAGAACCCTAAAGATGACCTTATCTAGCACCCTTATTTTTCAGTTGGAAAAACTAAGGTCCAAAGCATGCAAATGAATTGTCCAAGGTTATACACAACCAAATCTAGAATCCAACTCTTTTGGAATTCTACCCCAGGCCCCTTTCTTCTTTCTTTCTTTTTTAATACGTTTTTTGTTGATTTCAGAGAGAGAGGAAGGGAGAGGGATAGAGAAATAGAAATATCGATGAGAGAGAAACATCGTCAATCAGCTGCCTTCAAGCCCCCTACTGGGGATCGAGCCTGCAACCCAGGCATGTGCCCTGACTGGGTATTGAACGGGACCTCTGGGTTCATGGGTCAGCGCTCGACCACTGAACCACACCGGATGGGCCCAGGCCTCTTTCTTCTGTACTACAGTAGATGTGTCTCTAAGCACCTACATCTATATGTGTAGATATAAGAGAGAATATATATGTATATGCCCATTTACATGTATAATGCCATCAGTATCTAGAAAAACTTCCTACTGTTGCCACCCCTCTCTTAAAGGGTATAGTTAATCTCGTGAAAAAAGACAATAATAGTGCCCTGGCCAGGTTGCTCAGTCGCCCCATACACTGAAAGATTGCGGGTTTGATCCTTGATGGGGGAGCATATAGGAGGCAACCAATTGATGTTTCTTTCTCTCTCTCTCCCCCCTTCCTCTGTCTCCACCCCTTTCCTCTCTCTCTAAAAGCAATAAACATATCCTCAGGTGAGGGAAAAAATTTTTTTTAAGACAGTAATAGCAGCTTACCCTGGGTGATACCTTTTTCTAGTTGTGCTGCTTCCTAGTTGGATGGCAACAGGTGTATCACCTTTCTGAGCCTCAGCTTTCAAACTGGAATAAAAATCCACCCAAATAATAGGACTATAATGTAGATCAAAGGAGAGGGTGATTATGAAAGCAGAGTCTCCAAAAGGTGAGAGTTATGTTATATATGAACGTAAGCTGATGTTGACATCTAGGAGCAATTATAACTAAGAAATAACGCTGGGTATTTTAAAGAAAAAGAACATACCATGTATTCTTCTGATCTATACTTACTTAATAGATTAATAATCCACTGAATCACAAATGATGGGGCGTGGTCTGCAACGTCCCACCCAGTTCTTGTCCAGCGCCCTCTGCTGAACAACTTCAGAGACAGGCACTCACCACACCTAGAGCCAGCCACTCCTCTGGACAGCTCCAACAAAGCACACCGCTTTCACTTAAATAGAGTCAAAATGCCACTACGTAATTTCTATACTTTGGTCCTCATTTGACCCAGTGGAGCCATTTTGTGTTAAAAATCAGATGTGAAGGTAAAACCATTAGTCAGCTCACTGAGCCTCCAGACGAGTGACCCTTAAGACTCCACGTACCTGCTTTACTCCCCCAGTGGAGCTTTCACATGGGCAGTATTTCTCACATAGGGCGCAATCTTGCCTCCCAGGGGATACTGAGCAATGTTTAGACATTTTTGATGCCCGTAATCTGGATGCCCACAGTACCAAGGATGAGAAGCCCTGTGCAAGCTAGAGGAGCCCTCTCTGTCTAAAGGTCCACAGGCAGGTGAGGTGTTCCAACGTCCCCTCTGTCCTTTCCCTTGAAATGTAGTAACAGTCCTTCCCTCATCAAACTTGTTGGCCAGATGAGCACTTCTTTCTCCCTCCCTCACTGCTTTGTGTCTCCCCAAAGCTGGTTGCGTGATCAAAAAGGATGACCTTTCCTGTATGAGGAGGGCCAATTTTTTGCGTGGTAAGAGAACCTCTTAAAATAGTGTTTCATAAATGTCACTTTAAAAAGTTCCCTTTCCTCTCTTCCTAAGAGACAAAATCAGTCCCAACCTAGGGGAACAGGAAAGGAGGAGACAGGCTGTATTTACTGAAAGCCGCAGAGGATGCTTGGTAAGTTCGGTTCTCGGTCCCGGTGTCCACTGGGAGGTGGAAGGTGCCTTCAGTGCCACAGGAAGACGAGTTCTGTGGCCAGGCCTGTTTCATCAGCAGAGTTGCTTAAGGGAAGACACAAGAATGGCATTAGGCAGAAACAAGAAGTGGGCACCACCAATCACAGACACAAAGCAAGGGTCTTGGGCTGGACAGAAAACATGTAACTCGAGGGGCCCTGTTCAGATACACAAGACGGTTCATCCTTTCTGACTTGGGTGCATGGTTGAGAGGAGGGCTGAAGTGAGCTTCCAAATGATTTGAAACCTACAAAATCTGAGCTTATACTAAATTAGGAGTCAGAATTTTCTACCCACCACCAAAACCACGAAGATGCCTGTGAATACTGCCTCCTACTGGTTGGCACTTTGGCCTGAGGCTCTGGACTAGTCCTCAGCCGCTTTCTCATGAATGTGTGTCAACTTGGAGCCTTTGATTGCCTTTTGGGCCAGATCAACTGGGTAGTTTTTTTAATGCCTGAAATCTCATCTGGAGGTGTATTTAATAAACTGCTTTCAAAGAGAGACCCCAAAATAATTACCACATGACACAAACTTTGCTGGGCTGCCATCTCTTCTAAAGGGACTAAGCTGTGGCAGCTCAGAGGGCCCATGTTGGCCAGTGGGGCACGCCGTGATACCGGGGCAACAGACAGACAAACCTCTTGCACACCCTTTATACCTCCTGCTGAGGGGCTACTGGTGCCTCCCTCGATTTGAGATATCGCCTCATGAATTAGAGATGATCTTTGGGCCATTAAGAAAGTAAATGTCAAACCTGAGGTAGGTGTGAAATAGAGATGAGGCCCAGTTTGAAAGAAATCTACAGAGACTTCCCAGGCTGACTCAAAGCTCAGCTTGAAAAATTTGAAGGTTGACGCTTCGTATGTTCTAGAAGTGGGAATAACTAAAAAAAAAAAACTTACCTTCATGATATCCTGTGGGGAAGGAGAGAGGAAATAGGGTTTCAAAGGGGGGAAATGCCTAACATTTTAGATATTTCCCTTGATACACTTTCAAACACTAAAGGAGAAACATTCTTGACACAAATTGCCTCTTAAGAGTAAAAAGAATGACTTTTAACAGTACCTTTTCTATTCAAATAAGGTCTTGGGAGTCATGGATATGGGGTGCTTTAAAGTATATGAGAAGGAGGTGGGGCTGCACTGGCAACAGTCTGATATACTTGAAACATTTTAACAAGGGGCTGCTTTAAGACAGGATGTTGTGAGAAGAGTGCACCATTACACTCTAATTCCACCAAGATAAGGACAGCCCACCTCCAGGGAGATCCCATAACCCCCTGCCTGTCTGAGAAACAGGTAACACCTCTGGTTCCTTCAGTCATGAGGTACTGGGCCCAGAGAAGGAAGTCAAGGGCTGCTGTTTCAGCTGATCCAAGGCTAGAAATGTAGCTGTTGCGGGTTGACCCTGAGCTTGCATTAATGGCCCACAATATTTACAGTGGATGCTGAGAAATGAGAAGAAAATCATGGGCAGGGAAGTGACACTAAAAGGAGAGTTCTGGCAAAAGAAATGGAGCCCCAGGAGGATTCCATGCAGAGTCCAGGGCTTTTGCTGGACATCAAGACGTGGCTTTGCAGACAATGCGTGGCGAGGGCAGTCAGTTTTAAACAATTATCTTTGGTTTCTTTTTCCAGGATGGGGTGTATGTGTGTGTGTCGGGGGGGATTAATAAAGGATCCAATTAGTGTTGAAAAGTCTAATCAAGATGTCTCCAAATTTAGAACCTGCAACTCCATGTGGCTGGATAGCCCTGCCCATCCAAAACAGCTCCCTAAAAAGTGAAACATGTAGCTCTGAGAAGTAGAGAAAATCCATGCCCTCAAGACCCCACAGGGATTTGTAGAAGGCCTGAATTTGGCTTCAGAGAACTTGGAGAATTTGGAGGTCCAGTTCCAGTCCAGCTGTTTCCCCAGATGGTGAATACTTTACCATAATTTTCATCATAAACCAAAAGTCTGACATTAGCCTGAAGGACTGTGTTACAAAGTAAATAAATCAAAATTAATCAAAGAGTGACTGAGGCCTACTGCACTCAGCACTGAGGGGAGCGCCACGGTGGACAGGAACACACGTGGGTCATGGTCACTGCACACAAGGTACTTATAGTCTAGCGGGGGATGCAACACAGCCACACGCCAACCAGAGAGTGAACAAGACAGCATTGCACACAGTAAAATAACGTTCCAGATTAACCAGGAAAGAAGCAAGTGCGACTGTGCCTTTGATTATGTCTTTTCCAAGTGATCAAGTGAACTAAACTATGCATGTTCCTGAACAAGTGATTATCTTCTTCTGGTTTCATTATAAAGAAAACAAATATTAGTATTTTCTATATTTCTTTATATATATATTTTAATACTTAATCATTTAAATAACTGAATAGGAAGACTAAAAACAAAAAAGAATATTAGCTGTCCACTTCATTAGTTAGTTGTATCATATGATCTTCCTCCTCCATGTACAATTCTGAAATGAGCCATTCTGTTGGTAATCATGATTCAGAGCTCAGTTGTAGGATCAGCCCAACTGAACCTTTCAGAGGCATGGTTACAGAGGAGGTTGCTTTCACAGGCATGTTTGCACTTGGGTGCCATAAAAGGTACCAACTCCTAGAAATATTTCTGTATTTTGAACTGGGTGATAAATACAAGCGTATACAAGCTATACATTTGAGACTAGTGGACTGTATGTACTATAGTATATGTGTTATTCCTCAATT